TCTAACATATTTTCGGTGAAGAGAGAGTTGTGACAAAGTAAAGAGACAAAAGCATGATAATCAAAGTTGCAAGACGTAATACATCAAAAGATTGATGGATATTCAGATTTGTTTCCCGCAAAAATCTGGTGTCCCTTTTTCTTCTGACTGTTTCCAATAGGCTTTTTACTTTTTTATTACGCTTTCATCTCAATTTTTTCAATGGCATTATATGTCACATAATGTGTTCTGCCTTGTCTCTCTGTATTAAAAAAAGTTCTTCTCACGTTCCCCTTTATTAGAGCCGTATCAAATAAGGAATATCTCTATCTTTTCACATCTTAGCTTGCTAACATTTACCAAGATGTGGAAAAGATAGAGATATTCCTTATTTGATACGGCTCTATTATTTATTCAGCTGACATATTTGCGTACTACCGAAAAAAAATGCATGTGGATAATTAGCAAAAGTTTTCAGTTTGATCAACGTATAATTTGTTTAGTTCTGCAATGGTTATTTATTGAATTGATCACATTTACCTGCAGTACATCATCACCAACTTCACCGTTATACTGTTGACATATAGCACGAATATGCATCAAAACCGAATTTCAATCATTGAATGTCATTATGATGTCGTAATTGAACATGAAGGAAAAAAAGTACCAATTAAGATTCAGGAAGTGTTGTTTTTGACTTAAAATCAGCTCATTTATAATATTGACAGTATTCTTTTCTTACACATCAAGTCTTACAGGTTGGTTTAGTTTATTTATTTTTACGAGCTATGACACATGTAAAAAATAGATACACAAAAAATTAACATACAGTAGTAAATTTGTCAACATGACCGTATGAAAAAAAACAAAAGAACAGAAAATAAATAATAAAGTCAATAACAAATCCATGACAACTACATTTTTTAGTGTATGTTCAAAACAGATTTAAAAGATTGTAGTGTTGGAAAAGTTACATAGGTTTTGAACTTCTCTCTATTTCAATCAACAGGAATTTTGTAGAAAAGAAGACTTTACTGTAGTAAATTTTGTAAAACGAATTTCTACTGCTGTAACATAATTTCTCAGGGATCGAGTTTCCAACAGTGGAGTGTATTTATTAGGATCTAGTGATGAATTTTATCGTTGGCTGTACGATAAAATTCCATAAGATAAAAGTAAAATCGTCGAACAGCAAGCTTAGAGAGACCTAACTTAAATATAAGATCATGACTGGCTATGTCACGGCTAAAATTTCGAGTAATCACACGAGCTGCGAGACGTTAAACTGCTTCAAGTGGTTCAAGATGGAAAGAAAAATCAGAATTGTAAACAGCGCAACAAGTCAGTCTATACAATGAAGAACACAACTTTAATATAATAACATTCGAACGAATTGGGAACTATCCCGAAAAATGCGATTTATTCCGCCTATTATTCTTCGACATGATAAAGAAAGCTCCTGACGTGAATTGATCATTAAAAATCGGACGAGAGCTTGACGGCTAGAAGTTTCGTTGTCTGGTCAAGTGAATGATTTTGGTTACTGATAGAAAAACAGAAAGAAAGTGCATACCGATGAGGCATTAGAGAAAAGTAAGACCACGAACATTTATCCACATTTGCTGACATAGAGTTTTGATTACACCAATCAACAAATCAATTTCATGCTGCTCCAAATGTTATATATCAGAACAAAGCTCAGTACGATCAGACGTAAGAAGAACAAAAAGGTCATCAGCGAACAGTGAGTAGAGAGAAAGAGGAGAAGATACACTTGTAAGATTATTTATGAAAATTAAAAACAAAATTGGATCCAATATGGATTCCTGCGGGACTCCTGAGGCTACAAATAGAAATGAGAACGAAACGCCATTAAGTCATACAAATTAAGATCTTTTTGATAGATAGAATTCAAACCACTCATATAAAATTCTGCCGATACCGATCGAATTAAGTTTGTTCAAGAGAGATGAACGTTCAACTTTATGACATATCGAGACTAAAACCTAAACAATGTTTATTTTCACTAATAGATTTATGAATGTGACGAGTGATACATAACAGTAAAGTGAAGAAAAAGGCCTAAAGTCGAATTGAGAAGAAGATACTTGTGAACTATTTTCTCTAGAATTTTTGAGACAACACATAGAAACGATATGGGTCTATAGTTAGTAACAGATGATGCTCTTCCTTTTTTATAGATGGGTGTTTATTTTAGTTACCTTCCATTATTCAGGAAATGTATGTGTTTCAAGCGATAATTAGAAAATGAATAAGAACTGATCTTGAATAACCGGTAAACACACCTTCAGAATTTTTAATGAGTTTCCATCTGTTCGTGTGCTATTTGTATTTTTCATTGAACGCACAGCCTCTAATATGCCATTTAAAGAGATAGAAATATCACAGAATTTTGATGTTGTTGAAAAAGTAGAGATAGAAGTTGATGGCGCTGTAGGGTCGGCCAGAAGAATCTATTATAACTTTTGGTATACCAGTGTGTCCGTTACGAAACTTATTCAAAGTAGACGCCAAAAACAGTTAGGGCTATTAAAAAAAGAAAGAATTTTTTTAAAATACTTTCTCTTCTCAATTTTGGTAGATACTATAACCTGATTACGAAGAACTTTAAATGACTGACGAGAGTTTGTTGAAGAATAAGATTTAAACTTCTGAAAACCACGATTTCGCTTGACAATGAGTTTTTGAGTAAAATTTGATGGTCAAACTGTGTTTTTTTCAAAAGTAAGACATGTTTAGATAGAACATGGTTTTCGATACAGCTATTTACATGCGAAGTCCATATAGCAACGACTTCAGATGGATCAACAACATCATAGAAAGTACTGGGAATAGATTGTAGAGCGTTATATAATTAAGTTAAGTGAAGTATGAATTTATATTTATTGTTTACAAGTAGTTGAAAGACAATATCGAATGAATAATATAGAGAGTAAAGTGGAATTGAACAGCCAACAATTGACTGATCGAAGACAACAGACGCATTCCACATTGAGGATAAAGAAGATCGTCGATAAATGACAAATTTGTAGTCGTTACAATTGTAGGATCATTAAGACGAAAGACTTAGGTAAGATCGCATAAAGCATTACACATTGCAGTATTAGAAGGAGCAAAATTAAATCTCAAGTTAGAAGCACTAACTCGTAAGTAGAAAATAAGTAAAATAAGAGAACCGCTTCTAGATACGAAAAATAAATTTAATTTTTAGGACCTGGTAGTTCGATAGGAGTTTCAGATGAAAAATATACGATCATTTATTATGATAAATACAAGAAGTGAGTCAGTAACTATGTATCACGTGCTATAAAACTATATTGTACTGAGTCAGATACATAAATTGCAAGGCCACCATCCTGCCTATTTCTGTCACGTCGATAAATCGTACTTGTACGATTTATCGACGTCCCAAATGGCGACGTGTCAAATTGTTGATTGCAATCAACAATTTGACACTCACTACCAGAAATATCACTAGATGAAAAAAATTCTTGTAAACAAATTGGAACAGATTTTGCTAACAAGACAGTGTACTCTAACATGTCTTTATGACGAGTAAAATTTTGAATTTTGTGAGTTATTACTGCCAACTTAGATCTAGACTCGAGAGGACCAGAGCTGGATCTACAAACTGGAGCTAAAGATGATAAATGATCAGAAATAGTAGAAGTAGGAAATAGATCCCGAAGACTAATGTCGATAGGTCAAGTGTCAATATCAGAAGGAGAAATAACAGAAGATGAGTTTAAAAAATCGACTAAATTACAAATAATAAAAGAATTTTTAGCAGAAAAATTGTCATTGATAGTACTGTCCTGAAAAGAGTTCAAATCTGAATGATTAAAAGAGCCTAGATGACAACCTTTTCTAGATAATCGTCTATTGATCAAGTTAATTGACTCGTACCTTCTCTATTCAAATATAAATTGTCTCGACGTAACATTGAATCTGTTTAATCAACCTTAATCACATTAATGTTATTGGAAGCCAAAGATAACAATTGTTTATTGAAATCGTCAACGTCCTTGTGCTGTTGTTGCTTGAATTTGAATTTTATATTAAACGACAATCAATTATATTATTAATACGCTAGTCCATTAACGTACCAACAATTATTCGAAATGTCTCGATGATATAAGTAAAATTGTGAGAAGTTCAGAATTAGTTATTGCCAAATTAGACTGTTGTAGTTTTTAAGCATTTCTAGATCTCTTTTGTATCTTAACAGCGAATACAATCGTAGTATCCATTATGGTACGGTCAGAAACGTTGCTGATATGTTCAGATAGATGTCGAATAAAAACATACATTCCAATTTTCTATAATTATTCTCACTTTCATCTTGAATAAACAACGATGTTATCTTTCACGCACAATGTACATTTTCTACGACGTTGAGATTGAAAAATGTAGTTTCTTATTATGTAGTACTGTTTTCTAACAGTAATGAAGTTGTCTTGGACAAGTTTTTCGATGAAGAAATATTAGAATTGATTTGTGTTATCTTCCAAAAAAGAAATTTTATAAAAAATATCATAAATCATTTACATTTAGAGATCATTTTTCTAATGAGAAATGCATAGTTTGTCTATCATGTGGAAGATCTAGGTGTTGTATGAGTGTTACATTTTTGAAATATTTTTCTCATTTTGACACATAAAAAAAAAGTGAGAAAAAAAAAAAGCATGTCATACACGTGTATTTAGGTACATTCATTCTTGTTATCTGTTATCAGACGTGTATTCTGTATGGTATTTGCTTTCCACGACAAAAGATTGTTATTTTTTTCAATGCCATTTTAGAAAGCAAAAAGCGGTCATATTGAAAAAAACAGTCATTCTATTACACTATTTCTTTTTTCATTTCTTTTGTCAACATTCAATTTTTGCTAATGATAACTAACGCATGACATGGTATGATTATCTGTCATCATCAAATATAATACGAAATACAACTGATCTTACATATTCGAACCAGTGCTCAGTTATAATATAACAACAATGTCAACAACAACAAAACGCTCTTATTCACAAAATTTTGTTTTATTTTCGGGACTTTTTATTGTGTTTATTGCATTTATTTATCAACCATTACCACACGATTTTCCTCAGCCATGGAAATATCGACTCATCTGTTTTGGTGCAAAATTAGTGGCAAAAGTGGTGAGTGAACTAGACAGTATTCCATTTACTCTCTCTCTCTCTCACACACATTGAATGTTTTTTTGTACTCTAGGGTTATGTTCTTGAAAAATTTAATTTAATTAAACGTGTTCAATCGATTCGATTACTCTATTATTTATTTGTTGGATGTTTTCAAATTAGAAATCCACAACATCAACTCAAAGTAAGACACAGTGATTACCAGACACTAGGAGGCAACGAGACTATCACACACTCATCCGTCAGTAGTCAAAGCAACATAATGGTTTTATCCTGAAATACTTGAACGATTTGAAGAGCATTCTCTTTTACAGCGTAGTCGTTTAAATTATAAAAGATAAATTCATGATTTAGATATGTATCAAAACAAATTTTAAAGTCTTAATGATACATACACACACACACACACCTCTTTTTCACCTTGTTGCCATATGCGGAGCACACGTGCGACCGAGCTCAAATTTTTATCACAAATATTTCAGTTTCTGTCTTCGGTTATAAATTTTTCTTTTTACAAAAAATTCCCTTTTGAGATATTGAAAAAATGCTAAAAATCCTATATTAAAAACCGTTTTTTGCTTTTAAAAATGTTCTTATACCAAAATTTGAAACCAAAAGCGCTCAAAAAGAATTTAGAATCTGAGATATGGTCTACAATATGTGTGGTAAATTAGACCATTTTTTGGAGAGGCCATAATGTGACTGGATTAGAGTGACTACCGAAAAAACGCTTACTGAGAAAAACACATTTTGTACACAGATCACTTTTTTCAGGGCATTTGAAATGATGTTTTATATTTTCACGAAAACTCATCGGGAATTTCTGAAAGACATCTCATTCTGAAGATCACACTTTCTTCTATCAGACTATCTATAAGAAAAAAATTTGAATCTACAAGAAAGGAGAAAAAAATTTACATGAACTAAAAAATTGAGATTTTTCAGAGTCTGAAGAAAAAACTTAAAAAATTCATAATTTTTTCAAGGAATGTTGTGGAAAGCTGGAAGTGGTGTCATTTTGTAGCCCAAACTTTCCTCTACATTAGGCTATGTTCAAATCAAAATGGAAAAGTTTTTGCAAGAAGGAGGAGGAGGGGTCACCCTTAATGTCATTACGCCCTAAAATCCATATATCAGAGACATTTGCTAGTAGATATCCATCCATCTATCCATTCTTATTTTCCATATCTCTTTGTATCCACTAAAGATGTGACAATGTTTGTACATGAACAAATAGCAAACTATTTTTATTTTTATTCTATTTAGATTTATGATGTGGCAGTGAATAATGTGTCAATGCGTATTTATCAACCACTTGAATATGGTCCAGAAGATTTGATGCCAGCTATTATTCATTTTCATGGTGGAGGCTTTATGGTCGGATGTCGAGAAACATACGATGTGGTTACTTATACAATTGCAAATCAAACACGAGCACTGGTATTATCAGTTGAGTATGTAAATTATCGATTAATTTTTGAATAATTAGTTAAAAAGTATCTCATTTTCCTTTTTTTTAGATATCGTCGTGTACCCGAACACGGTTTTCCATCAGCTCTCAATGATTGTATGACAATTGCTTATGAAATATTTCGTCAACCTCTTAAATATCAAATTGATATTAATCGAATAGCATTAGCCGGTGATTCAGCTGGAGGAAATTTAGCTTTAGTTATTACTCAGTATTTATTAAGAGATGGTTATAAACCAAAATTAACATGTCTAATGTATCCAGCATTACAATTTTTGGATTTTACACTACCATCTTATCAACAGTATTTACCAAAAGGTAAATTTAAATATTATTTATTCATGTTTATTATCTATTTTTCTTATTTAGATATACTGGGAGTTATTAATGAAGAAGATTTTCTCTATGTAATTAGTCAACTGAGTGGTCGTGTTTTAGTAACGCGTGATATTTTAAGAAATAATCATACATCAATTATACATAAACAACGTTTATATCCTTATTTAAATCCACAAAAATATTTACCAAAACAGTATCAACAAAATTTAAAACCATTGATATTTGATGAAAATCCTCTAATGACAAAAACACTTGAATATTTAATAACACCAGATATATCACCATTATTAGTATCAGATGATGAATTAAAAAAATTACCACCAATTTTATTATTTACAACAGAATTTGATATTCTAAGAGATGAAGGTATGTAAATGTTATGTTGTTGTTTTTTTAAATATATATGATCAATTTAAATCATAAAATAGTTCATTTTATTTAGGTTTTATATTTGCCGAACGTCTAAAGCATTTAAATAAATCATTGTATCATTATCATTTTAAAGGATCATTTCATGGTGCCCATATTCTTTTACATGGTCCATTAAAATTTGATTTTGCATGGACAATGATCGGAAAAACAACTGATGCTATCAAAAAAAATCTTTAAAATCATTTTTAGTATATTTACTTCTATATAATTCATTTTAACAAATTAAGTCTGATATTATTTTTTGTGCGATATGAGAAATAGGGAGTGACGTTCATTTCAAATCAGTTTACATAAGGATCAGTCAATTATAAGAAGTACAGTTTTATAGAAAGACTTACACAAATCTATCGGAGTTGAAAGTATATCGTATGAGTTCTTTGTCTATAGTGTCTATTCCTTTTTTTTCTGTTCAATAATGACTACCTACACGGCCTGTCCAGCTAACTGGAATTCCGTAACATTTTTTGAGGATTTTGTTCAATTTGCAGAAATTTTTTAATAAAAAGTGAGAACTCAAAAGTGAATTAGCCATTTTATAGACAATTCAATTCTCTATCGCTTGACCTGCTTTTGAAACATTTTAGCGAAAATCTCTTGGTTAGGAAATTGAAAACAATGAGAGCTGCTTTACTAAATATATAACAAAGATATGCAAAAAGTACCTCTCATTGTTTTCAATTTTCTAACCAAAAGATTTTCGCTAAAAGTTTTCAAAAGCATGTCAAACGATAGAGAATTGAATTATCTACAAAATGGCTTATTCACTTTTGAGTTCTAACTTTTTGAAAAATTTCTGCAAATTGAATAAAATCACCAAAAAACGTTACGAAATTCCATACGCAGTAGAGTTAGCTGGACAGGTCTTACAGTCATTTGGCGTCGTTCTAGATGTAGAATTTTGTCTAGTATTTAATGATATGCGTCGATTATGATATATCGTTCTGCTTTCTTTATTACTTCCGAAATAGTAAACGCCTTTCAAAACTAATCTTATACAAAAAATACATGTGCTTCGTTTTTCAAACATTTGTTTTATTTTTTATAGAAAACTCGAATTAAATTGATTCTCTTTCGTAATAAAACTTGAATTTTATTATTTATTTTATTTCATTCATAGAATTTTGTAGAAATTGAAAAGCTGAATTTTTTCGTACCTAGATGATTTTTATGTGTGATAGAAAAACTCGGTTATAAAACAGGCCACTTTTCAGTTAGTAATCATATTTTTTGACGGAGTTTACTATTTCGAAACGTTTAACGATATAATCTAACCGAAGTATATTATTTACATATAAGACAAAATTTTGCGTCTTTTAAGTCTAGAAAGAAGTTTTAAAAGTTATATTCTACCAGGTTGAAAAAATCAAAATTTTTCATCCTAAATTTGATGCCAACGGATTGATAGATCCTGTAATATGAATAGGATGCTCATATAAACAGACTATTGTGAATTATAACTGACTTTCATCTTTATTTTCATTTTTATTTTTATGTTTCAATGAATGAATTCTCATCCATTTTTCTATGCAGTGTATTCACATAGTATATTTCTAATCTATTTTACATTCCGACTATTCTTTGTTGTTCTAATGGATTTGTGTTGTTATTTTCAGATATCTATTTTTCTTATCTTTTCTTTTTTTAAAAATAATAGTTTTTTGTTGTTGGCTCGATGTTCAAGTTGATATACACTATTGTTGTATAAAATGATACTTGAATGTCGAATGAAAAAAAAAATGATATTTTTATTTTCCTGTTAAATATTTATTATGAATAAATGAGCGCACAAGAATCACATAAATCAGACAAGATAGTTAGTTTCAATTGAAAAAATTCACGGTTATATCTGTAACGTAGTTTTATGTTTTAATTTTGTAATAACTCGTTCAAGAATTTCTTTTCTTCTACTCGTTCGCTTATGATTATCACGTGTATGAGATAAATGAATTCAATTCTTAATAGAACTTTCATTATTGAATATGTATGTCATGTCACATAATACAACATGCATTGAAACGTAGTTAATAAATTCTTCTGTTTTCTGCACATTTATATCCTAAATGTTTTGTTTTCTAAATATTAAACAGAGTTATCTAACTGGAAGTCACCACTTCTGAAAAACGTTTACTCATTTTTGAAGGTAGAAATGAGACTTTTATTTCGCAGATAAATAGGTTGAACGTTTTTTTACCAATCATTTACTTGTCATTAGAATGAAAGCTCTTTTCTCTACTGTGACAAAGACGGTTACTGTATAAAACTTGGCTGTAGTTCGACTTTCCAAATTTTCTGATCAAATGACTAATCGTAGTGAGTTGCGAATGATACAGTCCTATAAGCCAATGAGTGTTCTATAAGCTCTGTAAATTTACTAACGATTTCACAAATCGTTTTTGGAGATATCTTCAGAATATAAGTAGAGACTTTGTATAGGATCTATCACCTTTTTTGCGCACAAATCTCGCACAATTAACAACAATTTTCTAACAGTTCTCATTGCTTAAGAAACGATAAGAGTTTCAAAAAGTTTAGAATTTGCATAAGCCTCCAAATCTCGGCTACAAAATGACGTTACACTCGAAAATTGAAATAGAGGCGTTTCGTTAAGCTTAGATTGTGTTATGAAACGTGGTTGAAAATGAGACATTTTCTGTGAACGTAGTTTGTTGTTTGCAGCCTGATTATTCATTAACATGGCAGAAATACTATTTCATTTATTTGAATACACTGTAGAGCTTTCGAGTCAAACCGATTCATCATTAGTACAGTCCAAAGACATTTACAATCGAACAAAATTACATATGATTCTAATATTTGTATGGTTACACAGTTTCATGTATATCATGCGTTTTACATATGAGAATTTACTTGAACAACCATAACAATAGAGAGAGAGACCGATGAGATTTCACTAGGATAACGATAACAGTAAAAAGAGGGAGCAATAAAATATAACGAGTGCAGTGTAAGAGGAGAACGACCTCCGCGCTTTTAAAATCTTTTACATTTGTATTTTCTTTTTCTTTTCTTCCTTACATACAGCAATTTTGAATAACCTTCAAACACGTACAATGGCAGTGAACGATCTGTACCATTGAATTCAGGAACATGTGAATGCATAGGCAGAGGTTCCTTAATTAGCAGCCGCCTAGGCGTCGATTCTTATTTAAGCATCAGTTAAGCATCTTATAAGAAACTTATAAGTATTCAATAAGATTCACGTAAGAATCTTACCTGATTCTTATCGAATTCTTATATAAGATTACGCAGAAAAGTGAATGGAATTTGATAAGAGTCTTATAAGAATCTGATAAGAAAGTGATAAGAAGTCTTATAAACTTCTTATCACTTTCTTATGAAATTCTTTTTTTGAAAGCGATCTGAAAAAATGCCCAAGAAGTTAAGCTACGCTAGTAGTGCATCTGAATTGTGCGAAAAGAATTTGAAAAAAATCACACGATCCGTCCAGGATTCGAACCTAGGGCCTATAGCATGCCATGCCGTGCTCTTATCCATTGAGGACTGTGATAATGAAAGATCATCTCGCTATCACATTCTGATTAACCAGTTTTGGATTTTTGAATTGCTTATCTGAGTATATCGACAACTAAAGACAGAGCACTCTCAAGAGCATAACGACTTCAAAATCACTATGAAACATTTATGTTCCATAGACAAACATACTGCTTCGCTGAGTAAAACGTAATCGTTAAATTACTCGTTGTCCAGAATAATTTAAAATTAACTCTTCTGAAAAGTCTTGCAAGGACAAAGTATGTCAGAAACTTCTTAATAAAATTCGGTAAGAATAAGCATTTTGTAACACGTCTATAAGAAACAGATAAGAACTTCTTACCACTTTCTTATGACTTTCTTATCAGATTCTTATAAGACTCTTATCAAACTCCATTCACTTTCCTGCTTAATCTTATATAAGAATCAGGTAAGATTCTTATCAGAATTGCAGAAAAGTTTTTGTCTAGGGCGATAAAGTCTCTGATCGCGGCTAAAAATTTCTATTTTATTAAAATTGTTTGAATGGCCTGTCTTTTGAACGTACTTACCTAAAGATAATTTAGACTTATATTCTGGAATACCATCGAACAGAGAATTTTCGCTCTTTCTCTCTATTGTTATCGTTGTTCAAGTAAATTCTCATATGTAAAACGCATGATATACATGAAACTGTGTAACCATACAAATATTAGAATCATATGTAATTTTGTTCGATTGTAAATGTCTTTGGACTGTACTAATGATGAATCGGTTTGACTCGAAAGCTCTACAGTATATTCAAATAAATGAAATAGTATTTCTGCCATATTAATGAATAATCAAGTTGCAAACAACAAATTACGCTTATTTGTTTCAAAAGTCCTACCAATATCTGACATTATCAGAGACATTTCTATGTTGATCAATCAAACTTCAAAATTGGATTACGATAATTTATGTACATTGTCATGTATACTGCCTTGATCTCGGATATTGTTTTCCAAGAAAGTGGCCATGGTACGTAGGTGATCGCAGAGATGCAACCGATCAATAAAATCATGACCAGTACCGGCCGGTCACCCGCGGCTATGTGGCGACTGGACCAAACCGGCCGGTTGACGCACCATTTTTCTAAAAATTTTGACCGATATTACCGCTTAAAGCGACTCACATTTCTACTCACATTTCTCAAGAACTCTTTCGGGATAGTAATTGCTATAAGAACAGTGAGCCTTTTGCATTTCTCATTTGGAATAAAGAATTTACCGTTTTATTTTTCACAACACTAAAAGACCTAGTAAGTAAGTTAAGTTAAGTTCAAGTATCACAGACAGTTATATAACAGACATTCGTCAATACATTCAAGCATTACGTATAGACCGGAAAAATATGAATATTTCAAACAGAGAATAATGAATGCAATTATTATCTTTCTTTGAGCCGTACAAAATGATACCAAATATGCTGTTTCTGTCATACTTTTCGATCGGACCGGGAACAGGCGTCCGGTCCAGTTGCATCTCTGAGTGGTCGTTTTTTGCTTTTCGATTTTAGAGTGTTCAGAGTCATAGCTCAATAGTATGCGAAGTAGAATACTTCATTCATCATTAATGTT